TATTAATATATTGTTTTTCTCTTCAAATCAATTTAAGAATATTGTCATTTAATGTCACTGGTATAAAAGAACGTTGTGCGGAATCAATTTCCTATTTCGAAGTAAAAAAGCTTACTTGTGGATTATTTTCTCTCTTTCCACTTTTCTTTTACTTTCTTAGTCTTTAATTAATTATAAAAGATTACTGATTTAATAATATAATCCAACAAAAAATATTTAGTCTAAGCTACTGAGCCTTTTTGAACTTGATACTTATACAGTAGGTACTGTTATATAACTTAGCAGAACGGTCCTTAGTAATTAATTATTTAAGGAATTCAAATGAATTATAAAAATTACTTTCCTTTTCTGAGATTTTTAAAATTTTTTTTGAAGGGCTAATCTTTTTAAAGGTTTGGACGTCTATCATTATTATAATGGGGAGACTAATTTGAACCTGTCAGATTCACTTGTATAGGTCGGCGAGGGATAAAAAGGCAGCCTAACGTACGTCCCGCATGATGCCAAACTTGACTGACCTTATATGTTGACCACAATTTCATCGAAATGTGCCTTAGCGCTTTAAGGGCAAAACGTAACAAATCAAATAGAGAATTACGTTTAATATTCATAGTGTGTATTATAGTGCTACTCAGTAATAGTTTATTATTATATATTCATAGTATAAAAAAAAAAACCTTTATCTTCACAAAAATTTTTGCTTTTTACCAACCAACCTACCTTCAAAATTTTGTACCAAATTCAAAATTCAGGCCAAGCGTAAATAAATCCCCGTGCCTACTTTCGTTTAACACACAACAGCGGATACGGGCCTCGTTATCGCTTGTTCGGCAAACTTCCTTCTGCCGTTCGTTATAACTTGTTCAGATATGTTTTCCCTTGGTGCGCTTTAAGCAATATCTTATAGATAGCAATGAAATGGTGTAATAGATATGATTTGATTAACTATAAATATGAGTTAAGGTTTATGAAAATTATATTTTTACGTATAAATTATATAGCATATTTGCAGAAACATAAATTATGTAAATCTGTTAAGTTGTTGTTGAGGACGAAAATCCCTACTTTATTTTTACCTTGTCTGTTTCCATTCTTTACGTGATGTAGGCAAAATATATTGTGCTTACCAATGCTTAAAACGGCATTAGTTCACGATAATTAAAATTAAATTAAGTCTAGGTTTGATTATGAACGATATTAATTGCCAATAACGTGACAGAGCATCCTAAGTTACAAGTCAAATTTTCGTTCTAATAATAGTTGGCAGTGGACATTATTCTAATAACTTACCTAACTTTTTTTATGTACAGTATAAATTTTAAGCACACTACATACGAGTATATTAAATTTAATATATGTTGTATGAGAATTTCATAATATGTATGTATTTAAAAATTATATGTGTAATGTATACAACAATTCTGGTATCCATAACACAAGCCTCGTAGATTACCATGGAACTAGATGTTTCCTGTAAACATAATTTTATGTCTGGGACATTAAACACACAGGAAAAAAAACTGTTAAAAAAATAAATAAAATAAAATGTTTTTATTTATTTATTTTTATTTTTCGTCATTAATATTTAAAAAAATTACACTTAATTTACTGAAATGTTAAGATACTAATTAGTTAATAGATGTCGACAAATATCTATAATTAAATTTTATTCATTCATTCATTAGACGACAACGTTTGGCTCAGTTTGTAGTGACCCTACTTTCTGTGCCAGCGGGGTTTCGCGGGTTCGAGTCCCGCTGGGCGGCAATTCATTTGTGTGATGACCAAGGTTTTTACTCCAGTCATGGGTGTTTATATTTATAATATGTATGTATTTAAAGTTCTATATATGTGTAGTGTATCAACTATCTGGTATCCCATAACACAAGCCTCGTAGACTTACCATGAACTAGATGGCGCTGGGTGTTAATGATGTCCCAAAAACCCATTAAAAAATTTATTTATTTATTTATTCATAAGATTTTCACAAGCAAAATGGCTTTAAATCGTCAATTATTAATAAGTAAATTAAATATCATTTCTTGAGGAAGCTACTCGTGCTAAAGGCTTCAGAAGTTTGAAAGGCAACTTGCTTGTAAAATTACAATTTCATCTCAAAAATAAAAAAATACGGACGCAATATTTCAAGCACGGAAAGCCATAAATTTTTATGAAATAATTAAAGAATATTAGTTTTACTTTTTAACAACCACAAAATTATACATCTTTAACCATTCAAATGGTAAAGTAAATTAATCGCCTTTGAATACAGTTATAAACCAGCATTAACATGGTTTCTAACATGAAATATTCAGTAGTCGAAGCGAGACTTCTAATTTATTATGTTTTCATTGATATAATGTCTTCAATCTGGGCTAATTGTGTCCGTGGTTAGTTGTGTCGTAACTACTAAAACAACACGGCATAATAATCGATACAGTTAACGTGGAAATTACTTATTTCGAAAAGGGACAAATTTTAACAACTCACGTATTTCACTAGTTACCAATATCTCTTATGATTGTCTTAATTCCTATGGATATTTGTATGTACCAAAAAAAACGTACTAAGACAATGTCTTATCTTATATTATTATATACTGGTGACAGAAGAGCTGGATGCATTTTCCGTCCATAAAAATCGGCATTGCCATTCAAGCGGGGGAGAATGCGGCTAGCATCCTTTGCCACTACTTCACGCGAACATGAGTTCTACAGCCATAATTAAATATAAATTTGTTTAATATATATATACTATATATATATCAATATATATATATATATATATATATATATATATAAACAAAGTCGGATATTGTTCAATGACACATAAATTATCGAGGAGAAGTGGGTGTGATTACTGGTACCTAGGGACCGAATGATTATTTTTTTTAGCTTTTAGTACATTATGTACATCATTATTATCTTTCTTTTCAATAAAACCAGTTAACTTAAAAAAAAATACTTAGTTTTTATTTTTGTTAAAAGCAGTTTGTGTCAACTCTCCGGCTTTGTGCAAAAAACTATTTCTTTATAAAAGAAGGGAAAAATTAAGAAAGAAATTTTCATTTTTATAATACTAAAGATTACGCCTAAGACATAATATTGATATAAGTTATTTTTTATTGCAGTAAAAATGCTTCTGAAGATTTTTACGTAAAGCCATTGAATTAAATCGATTGCTTTTTGAACACTAGTCAAAGAGAGGACAAGAATTGAAAATTAAATAGATGGTGCTTTGATAGTTTGATGGCATTCTTCTTAAGCTATTTATGTTTGTACCAATTTTCATTGGCTATTGAATCAAAGACAATTCGTTATCTTTTCGTTGCTTTTCATTTATTTATATATTTTTTTTTTTATTTTTGATTATCACTGGAAAATTGCTGCGCGGCTATCGATATTCAGGATCTTTTTTTATTGTAACGTTAAATTAAAACGTCGCTAAGCATAAAAATTACAACAGGAGACCTTTTGGATTCAACAGATAAATTGCCGATTTCACCAACAACCCATAAACCTATCTACTGAACCTACGTATGGGGCTACGTATGTAGCTTAACAGTCCCCTTAACTAGCACCTGAATTAAATTTCGTTTTACGATCGTCTTTAACCCCATATTTCGAGCACCTAAAATTTAGGGGACCTTTTAATATTTAGGTGACCAATAATTGTCGGTGAAACAGAAACTGTCCTCCTAACGACCCCCTAACAATGCTTAGGGGATCCCTATGAAACTTAGATGACGTTGGTGCTTGTGGGCAAAAATGTTCAAACGGACTCTCATAGAAAATATTAAAGCGGTGGCTTACAAAGTAATATCGTCCATATTAAAGTAGTTTCCTATTTTATTTATTTAAGGTCACAACATATAGTAACGAGAAAATAAATAGAATTAGAATATTTTTTAAAGACAGGTACATATTATATTGTTCCGTTATGTAATAATAAAAATATAGTGAAAGGAAGTAGAAGTTTTTCTTTAAACATTAAAACTTCAGACAAGGCATCTTTTTAGCTCTGTTTATTGTCCATGGAACAAAAACAAATCGTTTTTTTTGTCTTCAACGAAAGCCTGGTATTGTCAACAGTGTGTTGTTC